AGTTATATTGGAAGGGCCAGCATGAAGAGGTGATCATCAATGGATTCCGAGTAGCGACCGTCCAGCGATCCCGACGGCGCAAAATCACTGGACGTTAGTAAAAATTTGTACTTTGTAATCGATTCTCATCCTCCATCGTGTAGCAGGACAAGAGGCAAGAAGATCGTTAAAAGTGCCCTTGTTAAATTGCAGTCATAAACGAATCCGCTTGCCGTGGGATATATGGTGCTACATGTTGTAATGGTTTCCCACGCTAGATTTGTTCCGCCATCAAGGAGAACAACGAATAAGGTCGTGAAGGAACGGAAGTCGTTTATTACCCCTTGAACGGGGCTGTATGTTAAGAAAGGCTATAGATGAGACTAATCAGATTGTGTCCTTATGCGCCTAGCGACTCGATTGGCCATCTGGCCCCTTCGTCCTGATCGCACTGTGTGACCTCGAGGCGCGTGCTTTTGGGTGTGGGCGGATCGATAGCATGACCTGAGAGTTCACCCTGGAGCTCGTTAGGAATAATCCTAACGCTAAATACATGGTGTTTACACTTTCGACTAAGAAGGGGTGACTGCCGACTTCGAGTTTAGAGTGAGAAGGGTGAACGCTCTGTGTAGAACAGAAGATCCATCCTTGTTTGAGCACCTGTTGCTATCTCAAAGATGAGTGTTCAAGTTTTTCTTACTGTAGAAGTCGATGGTTTACTCCAGGTGGATCTACTGCGTTCACCTCTACCGCCGATTTTATCGAGTCCATAAGGACCAGTTTTCTATGCTGAAAATGTACTGATCAATTAAGACCGCAAAATTTGGATCTCGTTGCATAAAATGCATCTCGTGTTTATTTATGCCTCCTATTGGGTTAGCTTCGGTGGATGATTCCCAACACACCAGCACTGCTAGCGCTTCCCGAACTCAACCTCGCTCTCTTGACTGCCTGCAGTATGCTAAGACTAATGAAATTCGAGTATCCCAGCAGGGTATGCAGACACCACGCCTGTAATTCGGCAAGAGGCTAGGTTTATCCGAAATCCATGAGTTTATTTAGTTTTCAGCTTTACATGGAATATATTTTGAAACAGACTGCTCGAAAGATGCGTTCAAAAGACACGCTAGTTTCATGGCATGGTTTTCTGAGGTGTGTGTCTTTTTAAACCGATGCTAAATTACTATGTGCAACTACACTTTCAGTTCATTTGTAAAATTCGTTTGTTATTCACCAGGAACTCCCGGAGTCTTACCGCCAGGAATCGATATCGACGGTTTTCCGCCCATCGGAACTCGCCTCATCCCCGGAAAGAGTGTCCTGTATGTCTATACTCACGCTGAAACGCTAGAAGTGTCGACTGTTCGGTACAAGGACGGTGAACAGATTGCCTACGTGGAGGCCGTCTCCCTCAACGGATCCTGGAGTAGAGTATGCGCCTGCCAGTTTACACCTTGCGCTTGATTGCTTTCCATGTTCATCCATCCCAACTTAGAACTAGACACTACCTCTTTAAACTCTGTTCTTTGTTTATCTATTCGATCTCAGTTACTGGTGCTGAATCTCTGAATTTCGACTTTGCCTTTGTTTCTGCACTAAAGTTCTCACTACTTACTTGCCCATGCATTGTCCACACGCTTCTGTTTTTTTTTCTAGGCAACCATAACATTGCGTCTGCCCCGCAAACCAGATATCGGTGACAAGTACAGTAGTCGGCATGGACAGAAGGGTATTAACAGTCTTCTCGTCCCCGCGGAGGATATGCCGTGGACAGTTGACAGCGGCATTGTCCCTGACCTGATTTTCAATCCCCACGGTTTCCCCACTCGTATGACTATGGGCATGATGATCGAGTTCTTGGCTGGAAAGTCAGCCGCGTTAACTGGTAGGTTCACGATCCCATTGACGGCCTCTTCTAAATGGTTTGAAGTTACTTCTACTCTACACAACGAAAACGATTTATTCCCCTTGCATTTTGGCCTTCTTCTAGGTAATCGCGTTGACGCCACTCCCTTCCAGTGGTCGGAGGAGAACCCACCCTTCAACGAATACGCCGAACAGCTCACTAATTCCGGCTTCAACTACTGGGGTACGGAGATGATGATGTCCGGTTTAACTGGCAAGAAACTGGAGGCGCATATTTTCATTGGTGTTGTCTACTACCAGCGGTTGCGTCACATGGTCGCCGATAAATATCAGGTACAGCCCTCTTCACCCC